ACAATTCCATTATTTTTACAGATGAGGAAATTGAAGAGGGCATCTAGGTGGTATAATGGATAGAATGCTGGGCCTGGAGTCAGAAAGACTCATCTTCCCTGGTTCAAATCTGGCCTCAGACACTGATTAGCTGTGTGACCCTGGACAAGTCACTTAAACCCATTTGCCTTGGTTTCCTCATCTGTAAAAATAGCTGGAGAGGGAAATGGCAAGCCACTCCAGTATCTTCCCCAAGAAAACCCCAAATGTAATCGCAAGGAGTTAGGCATGAGTGAAAACAACCAAACAAAAAAAAAAAAAAAAAAAAAAACTTTGAATCAAAATCACTGACTCAAAGCTGCAAGACATCTCTGAAGCCATTTAATTCAACACCCTCATTTTACAGTTGAAGACAGTGAAGCAAAGGGACATTAAATGACTTTTCCTAGGTCACATAGATAGTCAGTTCCAGGAGTAAGATTTGAGCCCAAGTCCTCTGACTCCAGCAATTGTTCTTTTCCACTATACTATACTGCCTGGAGAACTATTCTAATAGTTATTGAATCCTTTTCTTTGGAATTTTCATATAGATGTTTACAGCCACATCCATCATCATATCTGAAAAAACTACTTTCCAAAATTAAATCCGTCAATTGTAGATTTCTCACTATCCATGATCTTCCTAGAGCAGTACATATGCACGTCGCACTGCTGAAGATACTTGGACAAGGCAGGCAGGAACTTATCAGCAGAACATTCATTTCTCTAAGACAGTGACTTCCACCCTTTTTGGATTAGCGAAAGCTCATCGTCTGGTTTGATGTGGGCATCTTGAGGCTAGATATGCATGTAGATAGAACAAGCAGGTCCCTAGGAAATGGGAACGGAGAAATGATTGAAAGGTGCTTCTGCTCTGCTGCAGAATGATTCGAGATAAGCACAGGGTCCCATATGATGCCACTGTTTCTTCCCTTTGTATTTATTCTCTCTGCTCTTAAGTGAATGAACATTGCAGAAAGAATGGTATAGGCTACCATGTTTTGAGCTTCAAAGGGTTGGAAGAAGCACCAGAAGTCAGGAACTGAAATTCATCCCCCAGTTTGCCAGCAGTCAAGCCCAATGAGAAACATGGCCCTGAGATGCAGCAACCTGGAGGAACCAGCCAAGGGAGTCACCATCCTAGCAGCACTGCCATACTCAAAAACAAATTTGTAACAGTCAGTTTAACTTGGAGCACACTCTCCCCAGGTCCACACTCCCCTGGTGGTAGCAAACGGTGCAGTCTGGTTTAGGGCACATTGTTTTTACACATTGGTACTTACTATATCTTTCCAGTTTTTGTAAATAATATTGGCATGTTAATCACTGGCAATTAATATTGTGGGAACATATCAGAATGATCACTTGAACTGATAGCATTAGAAAGATACCCCAACCCCTTGGGAATACTCCTAGAATTCTGAGGGGGATATATGACTGAGCTCAGCTAATCCAATTTGACAGCATAAATGGGAGTTGGAAAAAGGATCTCCAGAGTCTTACCTGACACCTAGAATAAATAGCGCCTAGCATATGGGAGGTACCTAAGAAATGCTTGTTGATTGGTTGACTATTGGTTAAAAATAGCTTGTCTTGTTTGAAGCAAAGAAACGGATTAAATGGAAGAAAAAAAGTGTATATATTTTGATGGCTCCACTAAGGTTTGCTGGGTTTTTTTAAAGAACCAGTCCCTACAGAGACACAAACACATTGTTGTATTTGATGAAAAAACTTGAGAATCATAATTTTTTCACAACCTTCTTCCCCAGAGAAGAATCAACAAGAGAAACTCAGCTCTTAAAAGTAATCCTGAATTTATCTTCAGGTTTTTCTCACTGGCTTGCAAGTGAAATACCAAAGCAGAGACTACTCAGAGATGAAAATGGAAAGCTTTAGAAGCCAAGAGGTGACCCCACAATGTAACATTTAAATTGAAATCTGTTTACTCTCCACATCCACCCCCTGCTCTTCTCTGGGGCTGACACTTATTAGAATTTTTCGTGCAACAGAGACTTTCCCCACTCAACTGCTTCCTACTGCTTTCACATTAACCTTTTCCCTGAAGCAGGACCATGCGTGCTATTACAGCAAGAGGGCTAAAAAGGAGCTTCCTAGACATCAATAAAAGAAAGAACTTTGTGCATCTTGTCAAACTGGCCGAGTAGTTCGTCTTTGCGACTTGGCAAAGGAAGCATCTGGGAAAGAGTCTTTTACAGAGGCTGGAGCAAGGGGCACAACCCTCACATTTAGCTTCTGTGGACAAATTGGACACATACAAATGAATCCTTGTACTTCCTTGAACTTTGTCCAAGCACTTAACAGTTTCTAAGTACCAGCAATATGATCACTCTTTTAAACAGCAGGAAGAAAATCATTAACCTGCTTTAGCTCCATGGCGAAGAAAATTTTTTCAGTAATGACTTTCATTGCGTGGAACTAATATTAGCAGCCTACATCCATGCAAGACAAACAAGAACAAAGTAAAAATCAGGAATTCAATTTCAGTGTACCACACAAGGAAATATGGTGGTTTCGTTGTAATCGCCCACTAATATTTTATCTCAACTGAAACATAAAAATGAAACAGCAGATAAGTTAGACCCACTTTCAGGGTAAAGAATTCACTCAAACTAAAGGCCTGCTAGCCTCAGATAACGCATGTAATTAAGCAGTAAAAGTTCCCAATGGATAGTAGGATTTTGAGCTCGAAGGGACTTTAGAGATCATTTGGTCCAAACTCTTTATTTGGAGAAGAGAAAACTAAGACCAGAAAAGGGGAAATGTCCAAGTTCACATAGATAACAAGTAGTAGAGCCAGTATTTGAACTCAGGCCTTATGACTCTAAAGCCAGCGGTTGTTGGGGAGTTTTTTTTTTTTTTCCCTAATACACTACATATTCGTCTCCTAAAAGTTACTCAGTATCATGTGAGAAATAATTCATTTGGACACCTACTCTATTCCAATCGGTATTAATTAGTTTGATATTCTACATAAATCATATAGGGAGAGATAGGTTCTTATAGTGGGCCTCAAACTTCAATGTAATATTCATTACTTGTTTACCAAGTTATGAGGCTCACTTGCACAACCATGAGAATGCTGACAAAGATATCTTCATCCTGTTTTACTCAAATTCCATGTCCAAACCCAGCATAGATGGGATGCCTTGATGCTTTGGAAAGTCCCTCAATTTATTTTTGTACCTTCAGACCATTCTCTCTTGTTCAAAATGAGGAGGTGATCATCTTATGACCACTTAGCAGAGATGCCCCATGATTCACCCAACCTGTGACCCCCCTACCCCTACTAATATGTAATTTTTGGCCCTCAAGAGCAAGGTCAATCAACCGATGAGACTCTGCATTTTGCCATGCCTCTTTTGCATATTTGGGTATCAAATCTTATAAAAACAAGGTACGGAAAGAAGGGGGCATCTCATATCATGAGGAAGATCTGAGGTCCACTTCATTAGAGGGAACCATGGTCCCTTTAATAAAGTGCCATTGGCTCAGAGCTCTACCTCAGTATTTTTTATTGTAGGTTGGACAATTTTAATCCCCACAGCTAACTCTAAAATGTCTCTCAAAATATTCCACTAAAGCTGCCCAAATACAAGATCAGTCACTATTGATATTCAATTTTCCTTTAGTGAAATCCAACATCCTCATATACTAACATTTTTGTACAAAAACATATGGGGCCAGCCACACGTAGAACAAGGACACATTTCTTCCTCTGGCCTGATTCCTCGGCAAGAGCTAATGGACAAAGAGACAAAGCATATTGGTAGATAGACAGACTGAGAGAGTCAGCAAATCAGTTTACTTGCTAAGATTCCACTACCCTGCAAGATCCAAATACCTCACTTTAAGGTCATGAGGTGAGCAATAAAGCAGAATTTTAATTCACAGTCCACTTTACACACAAGCAGAATAGAACTAAGCTTTGTTTAGCAATGCTCCTGACAGGTATAAAGGTTTTTATGAGAAGTCTTGTCCACGTGTGCATTTCCTCCACTAATACAGACCACAACCTCTTTGTGACTTAGTAGATGGTCTTCAGGAATTTCTGGGACCAAATACATTCATCAACCTGTGGCTAACCAGGACATGAGCCTCTCCAAATTTATTTAGGTTTGTCCTCAGACAATTGGCCCCTGGACCATCTCCAGAGTCACACTCAAAGCCTTTTCAGTTTAGAAGGACCAGTGAGAGCTTATACTTCTCTGGCATGACCCTCAAGAGCTCAAAGTCAATTCCACACCACAATGAAACATCCAATTAGAATATTAGTGGAGAATTTTTTTTAAGACACCAATGTAAAAACTACAGCTGGGAGAATGCTCTCTTGGCTGAATTCTGATTTCTCCCCAAAATACTCATTGCCATTAAATGCCCTTAGATTGATTACATGGCAGAAGAATTAAAGAGCTACAGAAGAAAGTTTTTCTCGAATTTTGCTTTCACCACAGCTTAAAAGAAAAGGGATTGTGGCATTAATTTGTAGTTTCTTTTTCCTGTCCTTATCAAAGAATCTAACCTAAAACAAAACAACATATAATATACTCTCACTTTTCCAATTAATTTAAACCATAAATAATTAAACATTATCTATGTTCAGTAGCAAAATAAACAGATTGTTCCACGTACATTGGATGGACTCCTTTAAAGTTAACTTTAGGGAGGACTCAGATGAGTCATATGATATGGATTAATATGGATGGGTTGCAAACTGCATTGTTGGAAGCAATTCCCACACCTATGAGATCACGGATCCGTTTGAGCATCTAAGTAAAATAGGTATCCAATCCTATCAAATAGTACCCGTTGTTATACATGAAAGACATCCAAGAATGTCTGGTCCTGGAACCTCTCCAAATGGCAGACAATCCAATGAATCTCACCCCTGTGAATTTAAGCTCAATATAATGAGCAAAGCTAGCATGAACTTTTTTAACAAAGGGACAAGAGAATTTACTTACAAGGCAACTCATTGTTGTTATCTTCACAGGGATCTGTGAAGTTATAGGTGTTGTCCAGAGTCAAAGAGAACCTGCTATCACGTTGGAAATTCCCTCTTCCTTCTTGAATTAGCAGAGAAGTGAAAACACAAAAAAGTCGAAGGGAGCAACCAACTTTGTTCATTTGGAGATGTTCTAAAGAAGCTGTGCAGTCTAAAAAATATTACCCTTGTTTTTTTAATACTCAGTCAATGGCTAGAAACAATACCATTGTCACATATAAATCTCTCCCTGTCCAACGTGTTTTCCTGCCCCACTTCCACCAATGCAACAATCTTACTCACTCTCTGGGATTCTTCATTAAAGATGACTCCTAAGTCCATTTATTCATTCTCTTCAGAGGTGTGTCTTTAGAAAATATTTAACTCGAATAATTGCACCATTCTTATAGTTAGCAAAGCATGGACTATATGGACTATGCATATCACTTTTACACAATTCTGATGCTTATTGGCACCCCTCCTACAGCAGAAGAAGATAGCAGATATACCAGCTGAGCAGACACCAGTGCTGTAAATCTCATGGTTAGACTAAGTTATCAAAACAAAGTATTCATCACCTATAGAATTGGATTTCTTAATTTAATCTACATAAAATCATAGAATTTTATTTTAGAATGAAATGGATATGAAATACCATTTACAAATGAGATAACTGAAGGCTGGGGAAGTGAAGTGAATTTTACAAAGTCTTATAATCACAAATTCATTATGTTAAAAAGGATCTCAGGTGTCATTTAGTCCAAACTTCTATCCTAGGTAGAAACTCATTCCAAAATTAACAATAATAACTACAGCAAAAACAATAATAATAATAAACAATAATAACCAGAATTTACAAAACACTTCAAGGTTTACATAGTGCTTTACATATGTTATCACGTTTGATTCTCACAGCAACCCATGGAAGTGGGTGCCATTATTATCTCCATCTCACAGTTGGTTAAATTGAGACTGAAAGGCTAAGCAACATGCCTGGGGTCACATAACTAGTGTCTGAGATAGCATTTGAACTTAAGTTTTCCTGACTCCAAACCCAGCACTCTTTGCACTATGCCACCTAGTTGTGGCACACCCTGACAGTGATCAGCTACCCTTTGTTGAACACAATAAGAAGAGAATTCGGCAGTCTTCAAATTATATTTTCGGACATGTTATATATTAAAAATTTTTCCTAGTATTTAGCCAAAATCTCCTTCCCTGAAGTTTCTATTTATTAACATTCATTCTAAATTCTGACTAATCCATTTCTTTATATCAATTTTTTTCATTCAATTCATTGTTGGTAATATGCTGCATTTACATCTACCATATATCTCACCATACTCCTTGGATCACCTTCAACTATGAATTTTTCAAGACTGTCATAAGGCAAGTAGGTGATATAGCAGAGAGATCATGGAACTTGGAATCAGGAGGACCTGAGTTCAAATCCTTCCTCAGACACTTAGCAGACTTTGGGGAAATTACTTAATCTCTCTAAATTTCAATTTCCTCATCTAAAAAGTGATGAGAATAATAGAACCTACTTTACAGGCTTATTTTGAAAATCAAATGATATAACACATGTAAAGTGCTTCGCCAGCCTTTAAGTACTATAAATACTATTGCCATTATTTATAATTATTTCACAACTTACAGCCATGTAACCTTTAAGGACACTGGTGTTTGAAAAAAAATAAGAGATGGGTTTTTGTTTCAGAAGGAAATTTGGAATTATTGAAAGTATTAAAGAAAGTATTAAAGATCAAGACGATCCTTTTCCTTCCATTCAATTCTTGGCTCACCTTTTGATCAATCCACAGTGTCTCTCCAAGATTTATATACTTTTGGACCACTTACATGGACTATCCATTGAACTGCATACTGCATAGTCTGGATAATGGGCCTTCATCATCCATTTCGGTTTTTCTATGTATATTGTTAGGCAGAATTCTATTGAGTGGTTAAGGAGGTTCTCATTAAGAAGATTCTGTACTGTTTCCTAACATTCTAAACCTTCAAATAATTAAAGATTGCTATTATATCCCTCTCTAAGTCTTCTCTTCTCCAAGCTAAATAATTTCATTTCCTTAAACTCTTCTTCGCATAATATTATATTTTATTATCCTTATTTATTATCCTTACTTCCCTTTCCATGTTCCAGTTTGCCCATGCCACTTTTAAAAGGTAGCACCTAAAACAGAATATATCCCTATGGATAAGATTCTGACCAACCTGGGCACATTACTTCTCTTGTTCTGGACATCTGCTTTTATTAAGGCAGATTCAGTTGTATTACCTTTTTAGTAGCCACATCAGAGTACTGATTCCCTAAGAAAACCGGAATTTAATTAATAGAAGAGAATCATAAACCAGATGTCCCACAGGACTCTGAAAAGAAATTCAAGACTATAAAATATGTCTCAGTATTTCAAAAGACTAAGTGTTGGAAAAGTGGATGACTTGAATTCCTATAACTTTTTAAAACAGAGCTAATTCATTTATTAAAAAATACAAAAAAAAATTGAGAACCAAGGAAATTGGGTCTACCTCTCAATTGTCTCTAACTCAAAGAAATCACTTTACCTCTTTGAATTTCTTCTGTTGCTCTATAAATTTTATCCTCCATTTCCCAAATGTCATTCTGCCCATCTTTCCATTTAATAAACAAAAATAAATATTCATTAACTGCTTATTATGTGCCCAACATGGTGCTAAGTAATTGGAATTAACATTCATTAAAAACTTAGGTACATTGTAATGAGAACACACACAGTCACTCAAACACACAAACATACAGACACTCACAAAGCAGCCCTCTAGTCTAGAAGGCACATTAGTTCCTTGTGCTTGGCATGCCTTCCCAATAACATAAACTCACTTACATGCAATTTTTCAAGGAATGGAATTTTGATGCCACAGTCTTATAACTCACCCTAATAGCCAAAGAATTCTGATGCAATACTCCATCACCCTCCATCACACAGTAAGTAAATGACAAAACTCAGACTTTAAATGGGTCCTCTGCTCCCTGTTTTTCCTCTCTAATCAAAGATGTTAGGAGGCAAGAAAACTAAGGGAGATCAGAATACTTGAATGATTACCCTTAGTAGCTCAGTTCTGAATTCATGTTCTATGGTATCTTAACAGTTTTACTGTCTTCCACAGAGGAAAAAAAATTGTTGGTGCCACAACTGTTTATTGATTAATTTCAGTTGGTATGCTGCTTTGTTAACTCTTGATGTCCTAACTTCTGATAACAACAACACTACACACCGTTTTAAGGCTTCCTCATCATGTAGAAAAATCATCTGCTGGGTTAATAACACCTACCATAACTCAATATAATGCTCTTACATCTTATGTGACAAAATACTAGATTTTTATACTATATATATATATTTTTTTTAATTGAGTGTCTTTTATCATTTTATATGGTGATTTCCCTCTCCACTTCTCCCCATCCCAAGTAGGCAGGCAGAAAAAAAAAACAGAGTAATCAAGCAGTGATAGAAGTTATGATGGTTCCATCCTATTTATTGGGAGATTACAAAGCAATACAAACACAAGATAATTTCCAAGTGCATTTTAAAAAAGGTCTTGATGGGATTCATAAAGGTGATGTCATTCCAAGTTGCCAAGATACAATCGTGTATAATCATCATATCATGTAACTTTGCAGATTGCATGTAATATTTTGTTTCTTTTAAATGGCTTTTTTTAATGGAGTACGTTCTTGCCCATAATTTTAGTTTCTCCTTTCAAAAAATACTAACAGATTTTCATTCCCATTCTCTTCTGGAAACCCTTGCTTACTTCTGTCCTTCATAAAGGACATACAATGCACCGAGAGCCTGTGATTCTGTCCATGTGGGAAATCCTTCTACCACTAACTTACAGGAATTTATAGTCTTAAAGATTGCCTGGAGATTAAAGAGTTTATGAATTCAAGCCAATGAGAATTTATTGAGGGCCTACTATATGCCAGGCACTATACTTAGCACCATGGATACAAAGGCAAAGACAAGACCCTGCTCTCAAGGAGCTCACAATCCAATGGCACAACATGCGAATGACTACGTACAAGAAAGATCTGTACAAGGTAAGCTGAAGATAATCTCAGAAGAAAGGGACTAGCATTGAAGGGGGACCAGATAAGGTCCAGCTGAAGATGGGATTTTAAATGAGACTTTCAGGAAGCCATGAGGCAGAGGTGAGGAGGGAAAGAATTTCAGGAATGAAAGACAGCCTTCATCAAAAAAAAAAAAGACATGGAGTCAGAAGATGGAGTATCCAATGAAAGGGATAGCAAGAAAATCAGTGTCACTGAATTGTAGAGTATGTAGAAGGGCTTAAAGTATAAAAAGACTGAAAGGGTAGAAAGGGGTCAAGTTGTACAGGGCTTCAAAAGCTAAATAGAGGATCTTGCATTTATTTAGTCCTGGGGCAATATGGAGCCACTGGAGTTTATTGAGTAGGAAGACATGGTCAGATCTGCACTTTAAGAAGATCACTTTGGCAAATGAGTAGAAAATGGACCAGAGTAAAGAGAGATTTGAATCAGGGAGACCAACCAGAAGGCCATTACGATAGTCCACATGTGAATTAACGAGGGCTTACACCAGGGTGGTGCCAGTTTCAGAGGAAAGAAAGAAGCTTATTAATATGAGAGATTCTGTGAAGGTAGAATTGACAGGACCTGCCAATAGATTGGATATGTGGGATGAAGGTGAAGAATCAAGGATGATCCCTAGGTACAAGTCTGGCTGACTGGGAGATGATGGTACCATTAAGAGGAATAGAGAAATCAGGAAATGGGGGGAAACTGAGGGGGGAAGCAGAAATAATTAATTCAGTTTTGGATATATCAGTTTAAGATGTTTACAGGATTACTGATTCAAGATATCCAGTACCCATTTGGAGATGCAAGACTAGAGGCCATGAGAGTAGTTAGGGCTATATAAATAAATTTAAAAATAATCTACATATAGATGATAAATGAATACATGAGAGCTCATGAAGTCATCAAGCAAGACAAAACAGAGGGAAAAGAGAAGGGAGCACAGGACAGAGTCTTAGGGGAAACTAACAATTTGTTGTCACGGCCTGGATGAAGATCAAACAAAGGAGACTGAGAAGGTATGGTCAGACAAGTAGGAAAATATCTAGGAGAGAGCGTTGTCATGAAGACTTAGAGAGAAGATACTATCAACAAGAAGAAGGTGGTTGACAATGTCACAGATTCTTCTTAAATGTCAGTGGCAGGATTTGAACCCAGATCTTTCTGGCTTCAAATCCAGAATTCTGTCTAGTACACTACATCATCTCTATCTTACAAACTTTGTACTATTATTTGTAGTACACACTGTATATCATTTTACTTGCATATATCATGTTTTCCCTCCAACTTCTACACTGATGAATATATTATCTGATTAGTGTGATGTACTTCCACCAGTGCAGAAAGAAATCCATTCCCACTCTTTTTTCATCCTGTGTAATAGTTTAGCTTTCCATAAATCCTCCACTGAGGATTTTTCCACAATGATGGAGAATGGCTAAAATGTTCTAGAATTTCTTGATGCTATTCACATATCAACCACAAAAGGCAAAAATGAGGCTCTCAACATTGGTAGAGAATCCTTCTATTTATAGGGGAGTTGATTCTGTTTTGTTTTGTTTTTTCTTTGGTGACATTTCATGGTAAGCAGTACAGCCCTAAGCTTTCCATTGACTATCCCAGCTTACTGTCCCTTTTCCAGTTACACATGACCCTGAAAACAAATTTCATTCTATTTATATGAGCTAATGATTATTGGTAAATATAGTATTATTCACTTAAATCCATTGCCTTTAGGTCATCAGCAATTGTGATTCTTTTAAAGTCATAGAGTTCAGTGCTTCCTAACCTCATACAATTGTCGGGGAGGATTGATTTTTTTTTTTGGTGGTTTTTTGGGGTTTTTTTAGGCAATTGGATTTAAGTGACTTGCCCAAGGTCACACAGCTAGTAAATGTCAAGCATTTGGTCTGAGGCCGGATTTGAACTCAGGTCCTCCTAACTTCAGGGCCAGTGCCCCATCCATTGTGACACCTAGCTGCCCCAAGGATTGATGTTTTAAAGACAGTTCAAAGATAGTTTCTTTATTCCACCAGTAAGCATCAGTAATCACATTGTACAACTCCCCAAACGAAATCAGCCCTGATCTTCTCCTTCTCCTTCCTGGGTCAAGTTCATTGTTCACCTCTACTGCTTGCCTGAAGATGTATGTGCTGTTATACTGACTCAAAGGGCTGCTGCTGGTCTACCAGCATGCCATCATCTGAATATTCTATATTTACTTGCCTTGTTCTTTCCCATTTCAGTTACTAGCCCAGTCTCATTTGAGTGGCTGCTGATCTCATTGAGGGACCCTGTTACATTTTAGAATGGCTTGATGCCATTAGCATAACGTCATTCACAAAAGTGTTCAAGTGAAGGCCCTCTATTTGTAGAGAATCCTTCTATTTGTAGAACATCAGAAGGCCCTCATCATTTCAGCAGAATCTTTCTATTTGCCTTCTTTATTCCACTGTGAATTCAATGAGAGCAGGAACCATGTTACACTTTTTAGGTCACCCACAGAGTCTAATACAAGGTTATGTACATAATAGGCCCTCAAATGTTTGTTAAATGAAATACTCTTCTCATTTATTTATCCAGAGGAGGCTGATATTTCATAAGCCTTTTGTACCATGTCTACCCCCATAGAAGGATAAATATTTTGCTTATAATTTGTTCTGCCTTGAAAAACAAATAACCAGATGGGAGGGGGGAAAGTCAGGAGCTCTAACTGTGTTAAAAATGGAGCTATTGTCTAAGAGCTGAAATTTCACAAACAAATGGGGAAGGTTTCATTTTTCAAAAAGTTTCCAAGAGAACAAAGAAACTTTCTGAACCACTTCACACACTGGGGAAATGGCATTTTAGTATGTTGTGTTCCCTTTTATTTTGTTCTGAGTTTTGTTTTGTTTCATTTTTTTAAGTAAGCAAGGCCATTGCTACCAGTATGTTCTCCTGAAATGCCCTGAGCCAGTCTCAAAGGATGGGGCAGTCCCTTGAATAAATGTAAGATCTACCAAAACAAGGCTGGCTTTCCCATTTGTGAGCCTCATTCTTCCTTCTGGTAATGTAAACTACATAGGCTGAGTTTTTGAGGCCTTGTTTCTCATTCATTTATCATGTACCAAGCTCCTCTAAAAAACTATCTTGATCCCTTCCATGGTAAATTATTTACTCCAAAAAAATTTTAAGCACATCATCTTCTCTTCTTTGCCATTATAAGAATTTGACTCATATCAAACATATTTGTGTGTTTGTTCTACCTGCCTTGTTAATTTAAGAGCAGGAACAATGTCTTCTTTCATCATTGTACCCCCGGGGCCTAACACACAACTACCTGTTAGTCATATTTGCTCTGTCCTTTCCAGTCCAAAGTTTACTTTCTTTGGCACAAAAGAAAAAAAGCAAGATAAATATGGATTGTTCTACCTTATCTTTGCTGTCAGTTATCATCAATCAGACAGTAACTATTTGTTAAGCACCTACTATGTGCCAGACACTGTGATAAGTGCTAAGGATACAAAAAGAGACAAGAAATAGTCCATGATTTCAAAGTGCTTACAATCTAATGGGGGAGATAACATGCAAGCAAATATATACAAAGCAAGCTATATACAGAAAATTAGGAAATACTTAAAAGAGGGAAAACACTGGAATTGAGAGGTTAGGGAAGGAAGGAGGAGGAGAAGGAAGAGGAGAAAGAGGAGGAGGAGGAGGAGGAGACAACCACTAGCATTTATATGGTTTTTTAACACTTGTGAAGCACTTTAAACATGGTATCTCACTTGACCCTCACCTTGTTAGGTAGATGTTACTATCATATTCATCTTACAGATGAGAACACTGAGGCAGATAAAGATTAAATGTCCTTACCAGTGTCACATAACTAGAAAATATATGCAATGAAGGATGCAATTCAGACCTTCCTGACTACAAGGAAAAGGATCCATATGTCCAAAAATATTTATAACAGCTCTTTTAGAGGTAAGTAACCCCAGGAGGTGTATTGAGAAAACTGGAATTTGGCTTGGGGTAGATATTAGAATAATTACAGATTTGTCCTGGAGTGATAACAATGCAGCCTTATAGGAAGTAGTTCACTGAAAAGAAGTCGGATTTCTACCTAGAGAGGGGCTTCTACGTAACCCTTCTGTTTAAGTTCTGTCTCTATGACATAGAAGTCGATATAGCCAGTTATAACATTTTGCCTGGAACTATTCTTTTTTGAAAATAGTTGTGAGATTAATACCACTGAGTGACAAGAAGCGTATGCTGTACAGAAAATAGATATAGGAAATGAACCCAAAATGTACTATGACTGGAAGCTCAAATACTCAGTTGATATAAGAACAATCCTCATTCTTTTAAAAACTAGTCTCAGAATGAGATTTTTCTGTCCTTTTCCTAACACCAAATTCTTGCCCTCATATTAACTCCTACCTGTTTGCCCCTCCAGGGATCATCTGTAGGTTTTAGGCTTCTGAACTCTGAGGCATGAAAAGAGAAAAATCCATCCTCAATTCTGAAGCACAACTACGCTTAGCTTTTCCATCTACTTTGCTTCCTGAAAGGATTTCCAATCTTAGCCACGTGGGTACTTCTGCCCCTCACACAGATCACAGCCCAGCCAAGCCTGCATGATTTTGACCATCAAGGATGCTGTAGAACGTCCTTGATACAAGCATAATGTCTTGTCCATAAGTTCTTCCTTAGTTTGGCTCCCACCTCCTCTTCTCATTGTTCAGGTCTCTGATGTCTTTTCTATCACTTCTTGCAAGGCACTTAGTTAACAAATGCTTCCAGATTCTCCTTTACCACATGACTCATGGGAAATGTGTTTAATATGATTTTACATGTATAGCTTAAATCAGATTGCATGCCATCTTGGGGAGGGAAGAGGGGAGAGAACTCAAAATTTTGTAAAAGTGAATGTTGAAAACTAAAAAGTAATTAATTAAAAAAATGCTTCAGGCAAGGCAGCCTGTGGACAGGGTGGTAGACTTGGAGCTATCCAAGTCCAACTGAAGCAATTAACTGTAGTCTGGCCAAGTTGCTTAATTTCTCAGGACCTCTCAGATAACTGCACAGGTATTAGTTGCTAAGTCACAGCCAGTCTGCTTTGCTTGAGACAGTCTCCACATTAGGAGTCTCCGATGCTGAAAAGCCCAAAGATACTTTATCAGTCTCACATGAATTCAATTTACTACTTCAGCTATCATGATGAGATTTGAGACTTCTTACTCTCGGTGATGATTAGCTTAACACACATTTTAAAACAGAAAAGAAAACAATTGGATTTCCCAGGAATATTTTTCCCTTTTATGTAACTCAGGTTAGAGTTAAAATTCATTGGGTGAAGAAGTTCAAATTTGATTTCAAATAATGCCTCTAGCTTCAGTGATGTGGTAGCTTACTTAGAAAATGCCTACAGAGATGAGCCATATACAAGTGGGGAAAAGAAGCCATTTGAAGAGCAAATATTT